TTTCATCTACAAGCTAATTGGTCGTAATGTGTGATGGACATTTATTAATACTGCTAGCTACACACATTCATGTTTATCTTAAAGTATATGGTCGGCAATAAATGTTGCAACTCATATATGCTCTGCTGCCTGGCTGCAAGGATGCTCCTAAAAAAGATACATATATAGATATATGTATGTATATAGGGTTTGTTTGTATGGTACAAGATTTTCTTTCTTTGTTTGCTCAGTTGAAACTTTGCTTGCGCTGTGCCATGTGCACTTAACAAAACATGTACTTTCAGATGAACAAATACATGTAAGTTTGTGTATTTTACATGCATGCGGTCATGATATACGTATGTACATATATATGTGTCAGATCTTACACATGGTTGCTCAAATATTAACTCAACATTTACCTATCTTATTTTAATTTTCATGGATCTGTAGTTACTTTATTTTTTTAGATAATAAATTATTGAGTTGTCATTATCTATAACTGCAAAAGAACCTGTCTATCACCATTACCGGTGCTATAGAACTTGATCAGAAACCAATTGATCTGAAATTGATACAAGAAATTACTGAATTTATAAGGAAAGAATCAATTCGTTTTTGTTTTAAGGTTGGTAAGGTTGCATGAGATCAAGTTGAATTCATGACAGATTGCAATTGATTATAAGATATAACGATAAATATGTATATATATATATATAGTTCTTTTTTGGAAGAGCAGAAATGTTATCTTAATCAGAAACCTGTATTCCAAGTACAAACAAACGAGATAAAAAAAAAAAAATAAATAAAGCCACTGCCACCGCCAGAATCCCAAAACCCTCGAAGCTGCACATGCAGAGCTCTTCCCTCTAATCCTGTTCGAGCAGACAAGCACACTACAACTCATAACAGTTGTTTTTAGTTCATATTATATTCTTAATTAGTACTCCATTAATTTCTTGATGTTCATTATCATTGAATCATAATTTCTTGTTTGTTTGTTTCTTCAGTTCATGTCATACCTTCCTCGGCCTTTAGGCTAAGATAGAAGTATAGTATTTTCTTACGAGTTGGTTCACAAATGATTAATCAGTTTTAAATAAATAAATATATATATATAAGGTAGATAGATTTACTACTTGGCTAGGTAGCTAGGTAAAAATCACAAACTCATTTGAATTGGAAAGAAATAAACTAAAATTTTATTCTCTTTTATAATTGAAATTTTATCTCATACACATTTAATGCAGACAAAATTATTTATTTTATACATATGGTAGATAATTAATGCATTTAGCTTATAATAAATTGAGGACATTTTGATCTTCAATCAGCATACTGCAAATCTGATCTCTTGTCATACAGGAAGCTGAAGATGAAGGTGTAACTCCGATATTACTTGAGTCTGAACAAGTTTGGAACATTAACGTAGGACTGGATTTTTCATAATTGATGAAGAAACAGAAGCAGTATGATGCACGGCAATTTAAGGAAAGGTATATAAAATATTAAATATACATATCCTATAAAATCTGATATGCAAAATAAGGGCCTCCTTTTGAATGAAACGAGGACAAAGAGAAGCATATTAAATAAGAATAATGTTCATCCTGAATATATATATATATATATATATATATATATCTGTATAGAGTTATCAAAAAGAATATATATGTATATATATATATATATATATCTGTATAGAAGCGATAATGAAACAGCCTGCAGGGAGGAGCTAGGTCCGTTAATTAATGGCAATTAAATACAAGGGAAAAGAGTCCTTGGAAGACAATGAATTTGTTTATTAGAAAAATAAGGGGAAAGAGAGTATGTAATGAATGAAATCCTAGGGTTGTTGGAGAAGAGGAGTATCAAAAAGAATTAGCTAATGTTAAATTAATGAGACTTTTTTCAAATTATACTAGATAATTCTAGATGTCTATAGAAAAATCTAGAATTTTCTAGATAATTCTAGAAGATGAAGGAAATTTCTAGAAGCTAATAAGGTAGAAGTTGATAGAAGAAATTGGATGTTTGAAGGGTATTAATGATGTAGGGAATGGAGAAATATCTAAATTCTTGTAAAGACATCTATCTATGTACTTACATATAAATACATCATTTGTAAAGTGTGAAGAAATTTTTTTTTTTTTTTTTTAAAAAAAGAACAATTACTACCTATATTATCTTCATATCAAAACCCTATCTATTATTTCCACACAAAATACAACTATAATTATAAAATCATTGCATACCATTTGTATTTCTTAAAATCTCTTATATGGTTATCTTAAGTTTTTTTTTTATTAGCAAACGAATTAATACTGTACTTTAAAAATAAATACAAAATATTAAAAATTAAATTATAATTAAAAAAATTACGGATAAAATTGTAAAATATATTAAATTTTATGAACTAATTTAGTAAGTTACCCTAAAAAATTCATAGCACGCAAAACATCTATATAAAGTCAGAGTTTTGGAAGTAATCTAAAAATTTTTTGCATCATCTCAATAATCAAGTATTATCCCGTGATTCCATAATGTTATTAGAAATTTTTTAAAATTTTAAGATATTTTTAAAGTTATAACATTTTTAGATCTAAGATTTAAGTCTTGTCCCAAAACTTATGATAAATATCATCTTTTATTTACTCATAAACAGTGAGTATTTATTGTGTTGTTCTATTAGTAATATTATTAGTTATAAGATTTCTTACGTAGTCCAATATAATCAAAAGTAATCTATATCAATCAATACTTCGCAAAATATTGATATCTATTAAATACTAAGTAAGATGTTTTTAAATTAATTTTTAAAAATTAAATAGTTAAAGTTAATATTCATGTATAGCAACATTGCAAAAAATCTTGACTTTTATATATTTTTATATATGTGTATTCTTGTATTATATTTTTATTTCTTATTTAATTTAAAGGTATATGAATTCAACATGTTTGATATCTTTGTAAATATTCAAGTACTTAGATGTAATTTCTTTTAAAAATATATCTTGCTTAATTATGTTTGAAATAAATTATCAAGTTAAATTATTTTTAAAAATTATTTACCTAAGTAACTTATAGAATAACAATAAACACACAACTATATAACAAAAATTAAAACTGAAGTATTAATCAATATGTATTACTATTTTATCCAGAAACTAAGACTCTATTTGTGATAACTTTTGATTTTGGTTTTTACATTTTAAAAATACCTTTGCAATTGAACATGTGAAACAAAAAAAAAATAATATTTTTAGTAAAAGTCAAAATCAATTTGTAATTTTTACTTAAATATAAAAAATACAATTTGTAATTTTTAAAAAATAATTTTAATTTTTTTAAAAAAATTTATGCTTAATCATAAAAAGTATTTTTTTTTTTTCTATTTTTTAAGACAATAGTATTTTTTTTTTAACAAATATTTCTACTTAAATATTAAATAACTTTTTTATTAAAATCAATTTTGATAAATAAAACTTATAATACAAACTAAAATAACCTTAAAAGGCACACTAACCGATTAATCATAAATATTAGGCACAATTATAGGACTTGGATCATGGGTGCCATCATAGGATTCTGACTTTTTCTTTAAGAAAAAATAACATAACATAAAACTCATGATTAACTATAACTTGTTTTGTTCTTCAATCTTGATGTGCTAAACCTTTTTGTATTGTTTCAATGCTGTACTGTATTTCCTCAATGAAAGAAAATGCTGTACTGTAATATATATATATATATATATGTACTTTATCAACTCAACATACGAATGGGCCTGCAAATCCAAAAACACTCCTACCAAATTGAATATCATCACCACAAAATATATTCAATATATACACGTACAAGTACAGACATTTAGGATTTTCGTGTCCGAATTCAACATGTTTATTGTGAAGAAAATAAATGTGCTGACCGATCGGTAAATACTAATTTTTTTTTTATATTTGTATCTTCATCCAAATGTTCAAATGCCGAATGATTTTCGACAACTCTTCATTAATAATATCACGGACGTTTCTTGATTCAGAGCTTGCACGACGACTTTGTAATATCCTTAATTTATGTCTCTTCTTCTAACCCAAAAAAAAAAAAATGCAACCTAATATTGTATGGTTATGAATGTTGTGTATAGTTTTACATAATTTAACCTCCTTGTAGTTGTGGCAAATCGCCAAAAGCTAAAACTTCTATTTCATCTATTTTACTTGAACTAATTGCAATTATTGAAAGGCCATAATGAAAATATTCATTTAAACCATGGGCCAAGTACAATTTGTAGAAATATTATTATATATGTATATAGTCCGTATATTCCCTCCTCTAGACCAAGCTTGTGGGTGTAAATTTATTTTAATTTTTTGAGTGAATTAATATGTTCATTAATTATGTATAATTACAATTCAATAACAATTTTTACGTGTGAATTAACTAAAAAATTTCAAATAAACTAAAAAAAAATCAGAACAATCAAGCAAAAGAATTTAAAGTCAATATACTTCTCCTCAATTATGATTTTTTTAATGAATAAAAAGTGAACTTGTCTTAAAAAATTATATACTATTTTTATCGAAATTTTTAATGCATTAAACTTGGTAAATCACATCCTAACTTGCCAAAATCATATGTTTCTTATGTTATTGTCGTACAAATCTTAACAAGTTAGTCTAAAATAATAAACTCATTGAAGTTTTACGCGATACCTTGGCGTGTATATTGTAAAAAACTATAATTGTTAAATTATACATAAAAGTTCAACTTACACTCTACTAATAATTGTTGAATGATCGCTTCAGATCATATTCTCATACAGGGAGATCATTGGGAAGACACACACACACACATACATATATATATATATATATATATATCACCATTCCATTTGTGCCATATTAAGCTCCAAACTTACCAAATAAACAACAATTTACTTACTGATCACTTGGTGTGCCAGTTTTAGCATCCACCGCAAGTAAACCGTCCGATAAATTTAAGCGCTTTGGGTGGTACCATAAACAGCAATTTATTGAGCTTGCAAATTGAAAAGCGGCCACTAACCAAGTTAACTCAGGAATATGTCCATCTAAACTACCATGTTAACATTTTAGAGCTGGGGCAAAATTTCCTACATATAGATTGATGGATTTTCTTTTTATATATATATATATAGCCCACCTTGGCATCTTATCCAGGGCCATGAGGGACACTGGATTGGAGAATCAAACTGCCATCCAATTGGATTGGAGAACCCTAAACTACAAGCTTTGCACCTTACAATAACTGAGCTAAAGACTACTGCGATAGAAGAAGTAACAATTATACAGACACGACAAATTGACTAGGTATTTGTTTTGCTGCATCTCCTGGAAACTTCACATCAACATTCTTAGCAGTAAAACATTACCCTCTTCACATTCTCCTTTAGTGCAGGCAATGGCCGGACTTTTCCTGACTCTCCTGCTGGTCGTGTGCCCTTAGCAGCATGCCCTGTCATCCCATTCTCCTGCATCTCTGGTTCCATGTAGAATCGAGCACGAAAAGCAGCTAAATGTGCATAATATGCTGGAGGGACTGTACAGAAATGGCGTATTACTCCATTTTTGCAAACGGCAAACCAGCAAAAAATGCTAGGAGTAAACTTAATATCTTATGGTCAGTTCAGCAGTAATCTAGGAAATGAAATTACAGGCCCCTAAAACTTGGTCGTTTGTTGAAATACAAGTCAAACTATTTATCCCATGGTTTCCCAGGTATAACTATGGATATTAGAGAAAGAATGCTTATTTCACTCAGTCAAAATTCAATTGAATTGAAAGACTCGTGGATAATGTTACCATTTCAAATGCCAGCATTAGAATGATGCTTCCCTGTCCCTTATAGATTCAGACCATAATTTATTTAAAATTTGGACAATAGTTAGTAGACAATTCAATTTCATTGAGAAATGTGTGATTGTCTCGAGTTTAAAAGCCTAACTTTTTCATCATTTGAAACGCCGAAAATATTTTGTTACATATAGATAGAATACTAGGAACCTAGGACGCAAAGCTTTTTTTCTTAATCAAGAGGAATAATCAAACTTTGAAGAGTATTGACTTACCAACGGAGACAGAGCGGGTGCATCTTGCATAGGTATAACAGAGGTTGTTTGTCAAAGACTGCATCCCATCTGCTGTAAAATTGTTCTCATCCCATAGCACATGGTAGTGAGCTGGTCTACTAGTCCCCTGTCAAAATACAAGTCAAAATATTTATCCCATGGTTTCCCAGGTATAACTACTGATATTAGAGAAAGAATGCTTATTCATTTGTCGAAATTCAATTGAATGGAAAGACTCATGGATAATGTTTCCATTAGAAATGCCAGCATTAGAACGATACTTCCCTGCCCCTTCTAGATTCAATGCAGCACTTTAACCCACCCAAAGGAACCAGGACCAGAAAACCAGCAAGGATATTATGATCTTCAAATTATCCAATGTCCATGTGATTTTCCACCAGGTTGTATTGCAACAGTCAACAGTTAAACCAACTAAACCACTATGATTGTCTACTAATTCAGTCAGTCTAGAAAAGCACAGATCATCTAGAATGGAATATCCAAACAAAATTCATATGGAATCCCTCAATCAGGACTGATTTTTTAAACAGTTTTCTATTAAGTGACTTAGATAGGGAAAAAACCTTGAAGACCATAAGCATTGGGACTTGGCTCATTATTCTCCAGATCAGTTTTCTAGATGGATTCTCTCTCCCTGTTAAGGATATAAAACAATCCTTCACAAAAACAAGTTATTAAGCTGCCAAATCTATTCTTATGCTTGTAGGATGACAGCTACTAGTTGACTAAAATTTTCGTCCATCCAAGTCCTCATGCAACAAACGATATCCAAATATTCAGAAATAGGAAGAGAAATATTGGCAACAAACATGCACATCTCATGAAACACTTGTTATATAATTTGGTTCTTTTTCCAAGGAGTGCAACATCATGCCATATCAGTAGGTGCATATTCCAAGTACAGAAAAATAATGCAACCGAAACGGGCAACAATAATTTTTTTTTTTACTTTATTACATTTCTCTAGACCTTGAACCAACATATAGTCAATGATTGCAGGTCAAGCACCCTTGAGCCAAAGTTGCATAAATGTTTGAAGATCAAGTGAATTCGACAAATATAATCAAGTTGCTACAAGGATGTAATTGGCCACAAATGATAAACCACACCTAAAAAATTTCTAGTAGAAAAGAACTGAAAAATTCTACCTGAATACCAGCATGGCTACAGAGGTAAAACCACATCTAAAAAATTTCTAGTAGAAAAGAACTAAAAAATTCTACCTGAATACCAGCGTGGCTACAGAGGTAAAAATCAAATTCTGATGGATGACAGATTTTTGAATCAACCACGGTGCCTGAAATGCAAAATATCATAACAAAATCAGTAAACAGTAGGCTGTCTCAATAAGTGGATTAAACTTGTGCATGAGCATACAGTAAGGAAAATCTACTTTTCCAGGATACTCAAAAATCTACCAGGCAGAATGTTCCCACTCTTGTCTGTGCTGCTCCTGTCTCTGTGGTTGCTTGCAAATAATCGAGTATGGTGCCGCTTTTGTACAACAATGAAAGTAACTGGTGGTTGATAATCTGGTTCTAGAGAGGCACAAGCCTGTGCAAAATAATGATAAAACTTTTGAAGTGTTCCCACCACTTTGGCTTCAAATAATCTAAATTGTTGGTTTATGCGGAAAGTATCTCAAAATTATCACCTTTCGAATTGCATCTAACTCATAAAGTAGAACTTGATAAAATTGCCCTTCACTTACACCATCCCTGCACAATCAAAAATTTTTAATTATTAGGATAGTGACACATGCATGCATATAGTGAATCTAGTAAGGTACATTTTGTTTCTGGTTAAGGTCTATCCCTTGCGTAAAAGGAGATTAGAACTACAGTCATGAACCTCAACCATAGTCTCTTAGTTCCAGTGAGGCACAGTTATATGCATGCCTTCAACAATCCTTAATATTTGTTTGTTTCCACCTATTAGCCAAGCTTTCTAGAATTTAACATCACACATAAATCTTGCAGCAAGTTGATTGGATGAGTGCAATTATTATTTGGATATGTAAATAAAATGAATGATGAGGATGACTTCAAAAAATATCAAAGCTATCACATTGGCTATAGTAACCTGTAGAGGAGGTATTACAAGATGTGGAATTGTGGTTACTGGTAATGAATGACAAATGTCAACAATTTGCACACAAATCTATTAATTTGTTCAGGTAGAGAATAACTCTACTCATCAGTACAAAATTGTCATAACAACTACATATAGGAAAGAATTTTGACCTGTAAAATATAATCCTTAATGGTTTCTGCCCTGTTGCCTTCCTAAAGGAAACAAGAAGGTCCCTGCACACGAGAAAGAGAATGAGGTACAGAGTCAAAGTACTAACATCTAAAGTGGAATATGAACTACAGAGTCAAATGGCATACAAGAAAAGGATCCAAGGAAGTGACATCTACCTGATCATGCCACCGCTAACATTGCCACGAACAGGATCCTGCCACGTTTTGTACAAATCTTGTATGAGTTCCTGTCTGTGAGCTTGAGCACAAACTAACCCAGCATATTTAGTAACCTCCGGCCAATCTTGAGAAGCTACTACCTAAAAACAAACCATAATATTTTATCAAGAATGATCTCAATATTTGATCCGGCACAAATTGTATAGCTTATCTACAATTAAGACCAGCAAAGAATCATACAGCAGCTATCGACGGGCTGGAGTCTTCCCCATTCTCTGGGTGGGTTACATCTGCTCCAAATATTATAGTTGGTATATCACTAACTAAAGGAATTCTGCAACTGATAGCATCCAAAAGAACAGTGTTTCTACCACCCATCTGCACCATAAATGACAGAAAATAAGGTTAGCAATTTATGCCGATACAATAAAAAATTTTGTGGATCATTAGGAAAGAGATATAAGTATATGAAACTTGTACAGAGATCAAATTAAAAGCATATATTTTTTGGGTGAAACTGGGGGGAATTAAAAATGAAGCAACAATCATATCATACAATATTCTTTTACAAAGAAAAAGCAACAGTTGGATTCAACCATTTCCAGAAACGGATACCCCTACGATGTAGGAAAATTAAGAGATATATCATATCATCAGAATTTAACCTTAACATTAATTTTTAGGGACACATTAGCCAGGTATTGCTTGCTGATCTTGAAGACATGTTTTGTGAGACAGCATTGTGATATTAAACCTAGATCAGTTTCACAGATTCGCTTAAGATCACCTGCAAAAGAAAAACGTATCACCAATTGTACTTCTGATTAACTAAACCATGCAAAAATCAAATTTTCCATATCATAATACAACCATTATTGCATAGCATACCATACAGGGACCCATTATTGTCAGGTAAGATAGCTAATAGAAGCTCTAATTCTTTTCCTTTAGTTTTGTTCATGGATGCATGGTATACATGCTTCAAAGCTTTCTCCACTTGCTCTGGCCTGGCACTATAGATTGGAATGACAGGCTCTGGATTGAATTCCTGCAAAGAGAACAAATAGAAATATTAAACCAATAACCCCAGAGAAGCATGCTCTTGAATATGTAGAGACAGGGGACAGAAAATTACCATGCCAGACACTTGGCACATCTGCGCAAGTTCATGGCAGAACCCACGAGCAACACTCTCTTGTACACTACGTGAAAAGTTAATACAGGCCCATCGCGTTACAGTCATCCCATTAATCATTTTCTGCAATATAAAAGCAGCAAAAGATCAGCAGTAATAGCAGAAACAAAACTGATTGTTGGATGATAGGATGGTTATCAAAAGGTGAGAAATTAAACTTAAGTAAGCAGAAAGTTGCGGAGGCATTTGGGTAGTTTGACTGACAGGAGAAAATATAACGAATGTTCTTTCTCCAATCTAAAAACTGAATAGTTTCTTAGGGATTTCAGAAAAATATATATCATGTCGTTTTTGTTCTTTTCCATCTCTCTTATTTAATATCTTACTCTGCTACTGATCCTTGTGAAGGTTTGCCTCTCGGATGCAAACAAAAAACTCAAAAAGGCTAGTACAAGAGACATGGAAATAAGTGATCATTTATTTATTATTAAAGTGAAGCAATCCCTGCAATGAAGGACCATACCTTGTTCATCATATTCCACTGGCCAACTTGGGGCAGGCAATCCTTTTCCTTTCCAGTTTCATGATATTTAAGCTGCAGAAAAGAGCATGACTGTAAGTAATGATTGATGCTCCTTGTTCCATGGCCAATAGGAACTAAAAATGTCCTGAATTTTACCCAAGGAGCAGGAAGAATGCGAGCCTCAACAGAAGCTAGTTTTTCACTGATCTTGATTCCAAATTCCTTTGCATAAGGATCTTGATCATAAGCATTATGTTGAACTGTCTGCTTGCATCCCAAAAGAAAATGACAAATTATTTCCAGGTTTCAAAAAAAAATGCCAATAACTAAATCACTAAGGAAACTAAAAACTACTTCACATTCTTATATGCAGCTATAGCATGCAGGATCTCCATTCTCTTCTCAGTTGCACTAGCATTCCAATGAGACTATTCTTAACATATATATGTATAGTAGCCAAACCTTCCAGTAATTTTGTAAGCTCCTAGATCGTGATACTAAATTTGCTGGTGGTTTCATAACCTAAATTATGAAGCCACAACAATAGCTTATTGAATGCAACAAGTTCTAAATAACATATTTTGGAAGTTAATATAACAAGTAATAGAAAACAAATAATCTCTCAACTAAGAAAGATTTAATCAACCAGGTTCAAGGATTCTCTATCTTTCTACATGATAAGAAGAAAATATCAGTTATTACCTGCAAAATATCATGTTCCCGATCCCTAGGTCTCTGGCAAGTAACTCTCAAAAGGGAAGTAATTTGCTTCTCATTCAACCTTTTTGTATATCTCTGTCCCTCAACAATTTTGCAGGCCTGACATTGCATGCAATTATCTACAAGATTATACAACAGGAAAAAATCTCAGATGAAACCAATTTACATGAACTCCTCTTACCTCCATAGGCAAATAGTTTGCCTTCTTTTGATTTCCTACTTGAAGACAAGGCAGATGTGTATGTTGAATGGTGAAGCCATACATTTCTTGGAAGTACTCAACAACTGACTTCATGGTAGAGTTGTCATCAACGGGAAACCTAAAATGGAAAGCATTCCCAATCAGTCAATCGCTTTTACATTTCAAGATTCCAGAATCCTTCCTGAATGAAAATACAGCTTTTTGCACTTGTACTGATATACCAAATAACCTAAAATAAAAGACCTTCTAACAAAAACATATAGTAAAACAAAACAGTAGAGAATTTCAACGCACACTAGTTCTCTTGTTGGCTGGGATGTCAATCCTGCAACACGGTACTTCCTTCTCACGTTTCCTCGGTGTGTAACCTCCACTTTTACTCCCCTAAGAGCCTTCTTAATCTGTTTACCACTTCAGTAAAAGTTCTTAAATAAATTAAACACTAAACAATGATGAAATGTATGACAACAATATAAAGAAAACCACCTTCACACGATCAGAATCAGATAATGGCCTTGATAAAACATCCTTTCCCAAAAGCTGGGCTACAAACTCTACCACAGGGAGAGCCTCAATAAATGCAGCTGAAGCCATATCTGTAAGAAAATAAAACAAAATAAAGGGAAACTTAGTTAAATGATCTTAGAACTACCAATATTTATTGGATTGAAATCATTAAACTTTTTTATGTAATTGTCTACCAATATTTAAGGACAAGCCCATCTGTGTAGGCCTAATACTCTGATAAAAGCCACACCATGACTCCAAACCCTCACCAAGGCGTTGCGGGTTTCTAATATCAGGAGAGAAGAATGACCTTCCAATAGGGCAATATCTTCACAAGAAAAGTTAAGGTGACAATATTAACATAATTTCATTAATGGGTTAGAATATAGCTTGATAAAGTAGACAACATACCTCTTGTTTGAGAGCTCCCTCAGCACAATGTCAAGAATTTGCAAAGCTTCTTGTGGTGCATCTGCTCGCTTACCCGCTAGAAACTGTCCTAATTGATACATGTTGGCTCGAGCTACAAATTTAATGACCACTTTGTATTCTCTTTCCCTTCTGGAATATTTATTGATAGACTAGTTAAATTGAAATTTCTACTAGTTAAGATAAAATTACGGATAAATCAAACCAAGTAAAGACTCATCAACAACCATTGAAAAAACCAACTGGAAACTTAATACTAGTTGCCACTAAAACAGAATAGATTACTTACTTGGGGCCATTGATTCCATCCTCTTCATCTATAAGCTTAATGGTAAACTCTTTCCAAGCAAAGGGAAGTTCGCCAGCTGTATACAAGCTCTTTCGGCCATCATAAGCAGGTAGTCTCATTCCTAGGTCCGATTCTTTATATAATCTGACAAGCTCTGCTATAATTGCTCTGTTCACAGTTCTTGATGGCACCTCCGGAGTTATTGTGACCTGCAAAAAACAATAAGGAAAAAATGAAAGATTAGATTCCACAAATAAACACGCATAAATACCCCACATGAAGAAAAGGACAACGTTATGGGCAAATCCATTCAGTTCTATTGTCAATGTAACAGCAAAAACATAAGAATACAAGTGGTTGACCGCATGAACATGTTGAAGGGCCCCAATAGCCATAACGTATTTAAAAATAATAATCAAGTTTAAATGGAAAATAAATCAAAACAAGTGGAACTTACATCATACTGGTTCAAATCTTTCTCATTTAACTCAGCAAAGAAATGGTTAGCCTTGACAATGCACTTTGTCCCAATTTGTCCATAACCAGGCCTACGTGCGAAACTCAAAGACTTGCTTGAAGTAGGAAAACCCGTTTCCATTTGACACACACTCTCAACATTTTCAATAGACTTAATTTGGTTGCTTGGTACAAGATCACCAGCCGGGTTGACGGACTTAAGTGCAACTGTGCAAGGCCTGGAACTCGGTCTCATACAGACATCTCCTTGATCAGATTTCCTGCCACCTCTGCCTCTCCTCCTTCCTCTATTTCTCGTTGGAGGTGATGCTTGGTTATGGGGTTTGTTATTGTGGGATTGTTCTTGGGGTGGTGGTCCTTTACCATTTTGGGTAGCTTTGGGATGTTTTTGTGTGGGATTCATGGAGTTTTGGAGGTGGGTTTTGATTACAAAGTGCTGCTCTGAGCCGTCTTTCATTTGCCTTATAGGCATGATTGGTTTTCTTTCTCTACTTATTCAAAAAGAAAGCGAGTTTTCACCAAATGGCGCATACAAAAACACGGGCTTCTGTTTCTCTGCTTTTTAGACTCGACTAAATCGGTCCAAACCATGGATTAAGGACTATTTCGTCCTGGTGATTGAAAAAACCAGATGTCAGTAAAATAGTACTCAGAATCCCAAAACCATTAATAAACAGAAAACATGATGATGATCAATAAAAGAATGCATCAAAGTTTTTTTTTCTCTTTGAACGCAATAGTAAAAGAGTAAACGGGTAAAAAAAAAACCTTTACTTTTCAGGTTAAAAAGCATTACTATTCCTTCCAAAGGTAAGAATTTTAGAATCACCTCTGTTTCTGCTGATAAACCCCGAATGAAAATAAGAAACCAACCAACACAAGTTACAGTTCATCTGACTAGAGATACTGCCACAGGCATTCAATGAAGTGAAGGCAAGTATAAGGATACGCAAGAAGAAAAAAAAAACCTATAAAATATGTATTTTTTAAATTTATATTTTAAATATTCTCCTGAATCTTTGCTCCAAACCTCAAAGATACAAGCAAAGAAAAGAATCGAAACACGAAATCCCAAGCAACTCAAAGAAATGATAAATACAAGGACAAAACTGACCATTACCAAAAACCCAGACCATCTTCATACTCTTGTATTTGGAAGCCAATGGTACAAATCAAAGCCAGGAGCTTAATAAAATATAAGCATAAAAGATAAATGGTTATATCCAGAAGACAAGACCGCATCCTTAGGTCTTGTCCCTACCATTTATTAGAAAATATGAATTAGAAGATGATACTGAATAAGCCCCAGCGCCAAAGGCAGATAGAAATATAGCAGAAACATTAAAAAATCTATTTTGCAGACAAGATTTTCAAACCATAGGACTGGTATTGAAACAGAATAAGACCATCTAGAAAAAACAAGAGACATGAAAATATATCCAAAGAGAAGGAATAAACATTGACCATTGAAAAGCGTAGTGAAATCACTGTCTAAAAGAATCCCCCACAATAAATATTTATTGGTGTAAGAAAAATGGCTCATTGATACAAACTAGATCAAAAATAAGCCCACGAAGTTGAAACTCACCAACCAACGAAACTAACCCGCCATAGACTCTCACTTGAGTTACCTTGCTTGAAACTGTCAAGAGCTTTACTTTACAGGGGAAAGAGGTATTAAAAAGAGGAGGTGGAGGAGACAGGGAAAGTGAAGTAATTAAAAAAGAGAAGGTAAAAGGGGGAATAATAAAAGGAGATGGGTTTTTGTGGAGGGTTCAGATTTATCCCTCAACATAGGAGGAGGAGGAGAAAGAAAGTGAGGAAGAAGAGAGCGAAAGAGAGATGATGATGGTGATGAGGAAACAGAGAAAGAGGAGAGCGAGAGAGAGGAAGAAGAGAGTGAAAGAGAGATGATGATGATGATGAATCTTTATACACGCATGCAAATGCTTTTGGTGTTTTCTTTATCACGTGTAAGACGCTTTGAGTGAGTCCCCTTCTTGCTTTAAAAAAAATGGCTTCTCTCTCTACCGTTTCAGTTGTGGACTGGATTGCGCAACCTCGGGGACGTACCATGACTCTCCATTACACTCAATGCTTAAAAAAAAGAAGAAAGAAAAAATCCCGTCTTGTGAAAAAGCTAGCCTAGTCATAAACGTATGGCGCTTGAAAAATTAGAGAGAGAAAGGGAGAAAGAGATGCGCATATATATATATTTAGAGAGAGAAAGTTGAAGTAATGGGTGGGAGTGGTGGGGAATAGATTTACAGATAGTCCAAAAGAATTACTGAGAACCCATTTTTATTTTTGTTTAATTAAGAGAAAAATAAAAGGCAATCATACACAGAAGAAGAATAATTCGAACTTGCAGTCCTCTCTTCTGCAGACTTCTCCATTTGTGCTCCCTCTCACTTCCCCATGAACTTTTCTTTTTAAATTGTCTGCACCCAAACCTACCCAATGAACCCTGTAACGGTCCAAT